AAAATGTCCCTAAAATGCAAAAGTTTTACAATGCATGACTTTGCATTGGACAGAATGAGAGCTGGAGAGGGGGAGAGGGTCACAGAATGAGGAGGAATGTAACGCAGCATTAATGCATCATTAGTCAGTCTTTAGGTGTTTTCAGACCAAACAGTTCTGGGGACTTTTTTAAGAGGAACTATCCACTAAGGACACATCATGGGGATTTTTATTCATGTCTGCATTCACACCACCATGGTATCTACTCTGAAGCAGGAGCTAAAAAGGTTCCTCTAAACGGGGTTCTGAAGGAACTAAAAGAGTTCATAGTTCCTGCGGTGCGGGATGAATAAAAAAAGGAGGCTCGTTCCTAGAACTGTGAAGAAGTTCCTGCGGTCCAAAAACACCTTTTTTTAATCCAGCAACTTTATGTTATAAAATCTGACTCCAGCTTCCTCCCACAGTCCAAAAACATGCTCGTTAGGTTAACTGGTAAGGCAAGTTTATTTATGTCGCACATTTCAACAACAAGGTCATTCAAAGTGCTTCACACAAGACATGAAAAGCATCAGGACAGAGGAAAGAAAAGAAAACATTAAAATAGAACATTTAAAAATCACTGAAATTATTAAATCTGAAAATATGTTCAAATAAAAATAATTCAAATGAAATTAATTAAAATAAATAAAGTAAAAATATATGTGAGTGTGGCTGGTTGTCAGCCCTGTGATTGACAGGTGATCAGTCCAGGGTGTAGCCCCGCCTCTCGCCCAATGGCAGCTGACCCTGAACAGGAAAAGCGGTATAGATAATGGATGGATGTTGTAACCTGCTCCTCGCTATGAAACAAAAGGTAAATAAAAGGAGGATGAAACAGATCAGTTACCTTTCCCAGCAGCCTCAGGTGTACTTCCTGTTATGTGCTAACAGACAAACACTTAAATGCTAAACCTAGATGGTCAATCGGCTTCTGAAGTTTGTCAGGTGCTACTTTTTTTTTTTTTTTTTTACCACAACTTGTTGTTTTGGCTTCACTTTCTTTCGTTGTCTCTTCTTTCTGTCGATGTCTCTTGTGTCTGAAATTTGAGATTTTTTACTTTTTTTTAAGAAGTCGACCTGTTTGGCAAAGTGAAGAAAACATGTTCCTTGGTGACCCATCATTCTCCTGTGAATATGTCTTTAGTGGTATTTGTGTGTGTGTGTGTGTGTGTGTGTGTGTGTGTGTGTGTGTGTGTGAGCGTCTGTTTGTGACAGATATAATGTGACAGAAATTAAAAAAAGAACGCCACCAAAGAGAACAGCGTGTTCCAAAACAGAAGAAAAAGGGAAAGAAAAACAAGCGGCGGGAGAGGTTAGGAGAGTGCCAGTAAGAAAGGATGAGAGAGGGAGGGGGGGGAGGGGGGGGGGCGAGGAATTTAAGTCCCAAAGTTATTTTTAAACCAAGAACAGGAACTCTACTGTTGACTCCCCAAACACTGACACATAGATCTGTACGAGAGGAGAGACACGCACACACACGCTTAAAGAAGTGGTCGAGCTGTCAGGTGTCACGCGTCTGCATCCAAACACATTCCTGTCTTTGCTTTATTACAGACTCACACACACACACACTTTAATCAGGACATGTGGACGCACACTCGAAACAGTAAATCATTCAGTGTTTTTACGCCCTAACAGGCTGAGGCAGGCCTTCATTTGAACGCTTTTCCCATGTGTATATATAGAAGGTTATAGATTGCATTTGGCCCTAATTGACTATAATTAAGACATGGTGCACATAAGTCAGAATTACAGGCCATGTGGTGGGAGAGAGTTTAAAAAAACAAAAAAGATGCAAGAAGACGAATGAGGAGGTCGGCTGTGGATTCAGATTCACACTGATTGAAATAAACAAGATCGTCCATCAAAGGTCGTCATCATCTTCATGGTGCAATCTGCTCTGAAACTCTACGCTGCGTGTTTTCCTGCAGCAGTGTGCCGCCGCCAGCGTGTTATTATCAAATAAAGACGTCTGGGATTATGTGTTCTGGGATAAAAAGTCATGCACAAAGGAGACAGAGGAGGCAAAGAACACACACCCCTGCTCTTCATGGATGCTTTGTCAGGAGGCTTTTGTGAAACCTCTGCCTATTAAATAGTCGGTGAATTCCCGACTGCATGCCGAGATAAACAGCTCCGATCAGGTGCAACAGTTACAACATGTCAGGAAGTCGTTATCTGTCAGGAGACACGCAGCGAGTACAGTTTGTTCTGCGTCACAGAGTATCGTTTCCTCCTGACATTTAACCCGGGTCTAACCTTCTGTAACGAGCGGGGTCAGCCTTAGCACGCACACCGAGCCCTGATGGGGGTCAAAGGAAACTGGGTCACCTGTACCTGTATGATATGATGCTGCCCCACACAACCAACCACCCACAGCATGGGTCACACCCTCCCCTGTGGACCCCCCTGCCCCTGCCTTCTGCGTCCTCGCCCTCCCCTCACCTTTAAGGTGTCACAGAGAGCACCCTTGTTCTCGCCCTCTCCTCCTTTTCCACCGGGACCCCTCAAAAATCCCAGATATCCCTGCAATTTCCGATGCAATGTTTATTTGGCGGAAAGGGGGGGGGGAGGGGGGGCAGGCGGGCTTGAAAAAGGAGCCTCACTTACAAACAGTTTGGGCTGCGTTTTGAGGGTAAACATGAGCGGGAGGGGGGGCGTGAGGCGAGCGGTAAAAAGGACTGAGGACTCGTGTGTTCTGGTCCTGACACACAGATCCCACCTCAGCAGGGACACAGAGCGCCGCTCTGTTCAGGCCCCAACCGCCACAGTCTAATAAACATCCCTCCACCACCTCCTGTCTGTACCTATGACAGCGCCCTCTGCTGGAGAAGGAGGAGACTGCACACAAAGGAGAAGGGACACAGAAGACACTGCAGAGACTTAAAGCAGCACTATGTAACTTTTACATCTTAGTTTCAAAGTTGATCTAGTCGTACAATAACTTTCAACGGGGAGCACAGCGTCTCTCTCATGTCCACAGAACGCCCCGCTCACCTGCTTAAAGGTCTCATATTCTTCTTCTTCTGGTTTTATCTGCTCTTTAGTGTGTTTTCCAAGTGTCCTGTGCATGTTTAGGCACATCTATGTGCAAAAATTCAAAGTCTGCGGAAACGCGGCTTCTCCTACGTCCTCCTGTTAGCTGTAGCATTAGCTGCATGTAACGCTCGGTTCTAGCCCCCCTCGATAAAAATGTGTCAGTGTGACGTCACATTGGCTCATTGTGGCAAGCCCAGCAGCTCATGTTGAAATTTCCGAGAAGCGTGCAGATCCAGCAGATGTCGCCCTTGAGCTCCAGCATGAAACCAAAACAACTCTCGCTGCATTGTTGTGTTAGCATGCTAATGCTAGTGATCTTTATTATGCTGGTATCTTCACACTGCATGTAAATTTACCTGAAATGAGCGTGATCTAGAAACACAGTTAAGCAGTGAGTACAGTATGTTATTCTTCTTTTCTCTAGTCCCTCAATTAAACAACTTTTATACACGAGGGGAGGAGTCAGCCGGCCGTCCTGGCGATGTAAACAAAGTGAAGATAAGACTCTGAAAAAAAAAGTGTGAAGAATCACATAGAAAGACTTTAAAATCACTTTGTAAGTTTGGCAGCGGGCCGCGGTTCACAAGCCTTCGTCTGTACTGCACTAGCCAGTTAGCCCGTCTCTGTACTGTTGGATAAAACGGATGAAACTGAGAGGACGTGACAGAGGAAGCTAAGCAGAGAAATGAGCGAGAGAGAAGTCAGAGTGTACATCCCTGCAGATGTTATTCAGAACATATTGAGACGTAGCGTTAGCGAGTGTTTTGCAGAAAGTCACTGAACCCAAGTTATGTCTCCGGCTTGCACACAAATAAATGAAATTATAAGAAACAATACATTTAAAAAGGAAAACAATAAAAATGTACGTAGAGAAAAACGCCTTGAGCGGGAAGGTCAAAAGCAGAAGCCTGATCTGCCTTTGTCTGCAAACCGGCTCTGAGTGTCAGCTGGTAATTATTCATATTCTTTTAACAGTTTGGTCATGAAGTCGTCCCTGTTTCAGCTTCCACAGCGTCTCTTTTTCTGCAGTTTTAGCTGTCTATGCATCGTGCATACATTTACGCTAGCTCACTATTTCATCTCTTGTTTTCAGGTGAGCTGCTTCAATGTTTGAGCTGCGACTTTTACTCCAGAAAAAAACATGTTTTACCATTTATCCAGACAATGATGAACACAAACCCTCTCTCTTGTGGATCCAGTTCAGGCTGAAGAGCATCAAAAACTGAGCTGGACTGAAGATCATCTGAGAGCACAACACTGCCCCCTGGTGGACAAATAACTGCAGAAGCACGTCTGCAGTGTGTATGTCTGAAGCTTCAGGGGAGGTGATGTGCATCGGCTCTTACTGTATCAGAGAAATAAAATACAATCAGTGTGGGGAAATCATGAAGCACGGACACACATCTGCCCTGAAAGAAAGAAAGAGATGGAGAGTATTAGAGATCCAGGAGAAGATAGACACATGAAGTTACAAACAAAGGAAAAGATCCTGCAAAGAGGGAAAGCTCTTCAAGTTCTAAACACCAGGAGTTTGTTTTCTGTAAGGATACAGTTAAGTTCTTCGTGTTCTGCAGAAAGGACGTCTGTACGGATTGAAATAATAATAATAAATTTGCTTTGAACTTTTATTTGCACCTCTGGCTAGACACTAAACTGCATTTCATTGTTCAGTACTTGCACATGTATAACTAAAATAAATCAGCATTAAAGGCAAATCCTAAAATATTGAGCATTGAAAGGTAAAGAGGAGAAAAGAACATCTGATTTGTTTGTAATTAAATATTGACATGTTTTAATTCATAATTTTTAGATATATTTATTTATTTTATAGAGATGTGTTGCCAAGTTTTGACAACAAACATATTTTAATAGGCTATATTCCTTTTTGTGATTATTGTCAGTTCCCGGTCTGGCCTGCAGAGGGCGCTCCTCAGTCTGCTGCGGTCATAAGCGGTCATAAAAAGCCTCTGCGGCATCAGAGCGGAAGCACTTCACTGGTCCTCGAGGCCAAGATCAACGCGAGCTAAACAGCAAGGTAAACACTGATAATCCTACCTGTTAATGTTTCATTTCGTGTATGCTGTTTTATGACCTATTAATACACACCGGGGAGCTTTCCGGTTCGAGTGATTTCTTGGGTTTTGTAAGGAGAGGCAGCGACAGCAGGAGGGAGAGGACGAAGAAGAGGGCAAAGTCATAACGTAACGTAGGTTAAAGGAGGAAACAGAAGAAGACGATAAATAACATCTTAAAGTCTCTTTAAAGAACACCTGAATGTTATTAAAGGTCAGGTGTTGAGTGTTTTAAAGCCAGCAGGGAAACTTGGCTGAGTGCAGAGACAGTTAATGATGTTTAATCTTATTTAAATTAACTCGTCTAGACTGCTAATAAAAGCTTTCAAAATAAAAGAGTCTGGAGCTGTTTGACTGTCAGTGTGTTCAGTGGAGTAATCTACTCTTTATTTAAAATTATTATTATTACTTTATTTCAGGTTTTTGACATTAAATGTTGTCAAATTCCATCACAATTATTTTTTTTCATGCTTTTAATTTGAAATATTTCATGTAGGGGAAATTGCACAGGTGCACAAACAGGATGCATTAAAGGTGCAGTCTGGAGTTTTGGTAGAAAAATGTGAAAGTTGGAGAAATGTACAGATTCTGTTGTTTATGTTCATAATTTTCATATTTTTTATTTATTTTTGTGCCGTTTGTGAGAGAGAGAAGGGAATGACATGCGGGAAAGAAGCCACCGGCCGGATCCGAACCCGGGCCGCCCGCTTGGAAGACTATATAGCCTCCATACATGGGAGGGGCGTACTAACCACTGCACCACCAGCGCCCCTTGATTTTCATATTTTTATCTTTCTGGGGAACTTTGTGTTTGTTATAAAGCCAAATCCCTCGGGGCACAACGGATCAAATGTCTGACCATGACAGTTTTAGACAGTGTCGTACATTATATGCCCAAGCCAATATGTTGGCAGGAAAAGGTCACATGTGTTCTGGTCATGTAAAGATACGTCTCTTTAGAGCAGGGGTTCCTAAACTTTTCAGCCCATGACCCCCAAAAATGAGGTGCTAGAGACCGGGGACGCCCTGTGTCCACGGAGGTGGTTAAAACATTACCGTTGTGCACAGCCGGGTACACGATCCAAACACTGGAATTAGAACGACACAAAAGAACAGCCTGAACTCTGTATTATTATTTTCATAATGGTAGCAGAATTAATCTCTTGATCTTTTTTTTTCATATGTTTTGACAATAATGGGCAAAATTAATTTTGATGTGTTTGGAAGAATTCTCATGACCCCCTTCTCAGTGTCTCGCGACCCCCCAGTGGGTCCCGACCCCAACTTTGGGAACCACTGCTTTAGAGCATATTGCACTCCCCTGTGTCCTGCCCCCTTATGGGGTAAGTTCAAAAAATCAAGTATGCACAGACTTCAGGTTGCTTACAATGATTGTTTTAGGATCTACCTAAAAAGCCAAGGTGGAGGAGTGCAGGTGAGCTATTTGTGAATGCAGGAGTTAACACCTTACAAGCTTTATTGAGGAACCTGATGTACAGATTTATCGGTCGCTTGAATGACTCAAAGAATGTAATTATAATGCTGCTGTCGAACCCAAGTTATAGTGCAGAACACTACCAGTCATACCTTTGGAGACGTTGGTATAAGAGGCAGGAATGTTTTTATTCTAATGTATATGTGTGTTGTCTATTTTTTGTATTGTATGTCTTTTAAAATGGACCTTGAGTCAATTAATCAAAGTTGATGATAACTCAAAACACAAACTGTCCTCAGAGGAACATGTGGTCTCTGTAACACTGTGCAGATAAAGTGCTCTGTGTGGAGTTATGGTGAAACTGTAACTCTCCTGGTAGGTTTTTAGCTCAAACAGTGTCCAGGGACCCTTTTTTTTTTTTTTTATTTGAGTGAAGTTTGTGTGTTCAGTTCAGAAAATAAAGCATAGAATGGTTTCACTTCTCCAACTTTCAAATTTCACTACCAAACCTCCATGGTGCACCTTTAAAGGGGACATATTCTGAAAAATCTACTTCTACAGTGTTTCTGAACATACATGTGGGTAACCGGAGGGTCTACTGACCCACAACATGTGAAATAAACCCATCCAGTCCTTTGTTTGTGGTCTGCATAAGTCTTACAACACAGAGAAAAATGCTCTGTTTCAAATGTGCTCTCCTTGTGATGTCACAGTGGGATTCTGGTAAAAAAAAAATTTTAAAAACTCCCTTCCCCTCCCCTGGTATCTCCACCCATGGACTCCACCCCCAGACTAGAACAAAACTTCTGCTCAGGTCCACCATTTTTATTCTCGCTATTGAAGGAGTGACGTCTATCTGGAAAACTCAGGGGGCGGGGCTCATTGCATTTAAAGAGACACACACACCAAAACGGAGCGTTCAGAGAGAGCTGGTTTATACAGGGTCACAAACCTCCTCTGGTGCTTGATTCATGTTATATTTTAACCAAAGCACAGCACAGATGTTTCATTTAGACCACAGGGACTGTTTGAAAAGGTGGAGGAGGGGACTGTTTGAAAAGGTGGAGGAGGGGGATGATATGTTCTCTTTAATGCAGAGAAGTCAGAGTAGGGAGTGTCAGAACTTAATTTCACAATCGTCCGACCTTGATACCAAACTGTTGATAAGAAAAGAAAGATGATGACCCACAATAAAAGTATGGAAGCAAGTTGTTGAAATGATATTTTAGTGACAGTAACTTTCTTTATCATTAAGTTTATGTGTTTACGACTTTGAAGCAGCACTTTTTGAAATGTGCGACTGTGCTTTTCTAAGCTCCTTTCTAAGGTTACATAACTCCTCATTATATGACCGTCATGGGGCCTCGTTTTGTTTGTGCTTCAGTTAAACACACATCGTACTGGAACCCCCCCCCACAGCGCACTGTACATGAAGAGAGGCTGTTAACATGCTCGCCTTACATAAGTGTCCTGTGACAGCATTGTGCCGGCCCTGAACATCCTCACTGTTAGTAATCAACACTCTTCTTCTTCTGCGCGTTTCTTCTCTCAGATGGCTCACCGGCTGCTGGTACGCAGGATTTGGACGTTCTCCACCAAAGATATCCGCTGCCTCCGAGCATCCACCGCAGCCACCATCTCCTCCTCCTCCTCTTCTCACTTCACCTCCTTACAATCAGCCGCATCCCGGGTCTCCTTCCTCGCCCCCTCTCGGTCTCTCCCTCGCTCCCTCCCTCACAGAGGAGTGTCCTTCAACGTTCAGGATCACGAGGACTTCACAGACAGAGTCATAAACAGCGATCTGCCCGTGCTCGTTGACTTCCATGCACAGTAAGTACCCGGCCTACAGCTGAAACTAGACCATACTAATATTGATATAATAACCTTTGTTATGGGGGGGGGGGTTACAGCTGTAACTATTTACACACATTTGGTGTTTAACTGTAAAACAATCAATACATGTTTACACAACTAGCCAGGGGATACACTCTGAGCTACACTTCCTGTTCAACACATCCTGTTAGAAAATGTTTGAGTTTAGTTTTTCAGAGTAAACATTTTCCCTTCACAAAGTGTTAACCAGCTTCCTTCATAAAGTCATTTTTATTGTTTTGTGCAAGTGTCGAAGCAATAATAGAGATGTTTAGATCACAATATGAGTCACTTTAATTATTGTTTTATTGTTTGTTATTTTACCTCCATTAAAACATCAAATCTTTTGAATTAAGTGTTTTGTTTTGTTTTAATTAATGTTTTGTGAAAGAGGGGCAGATATTATCAAGATTAGTCTTTCTGCTCCTTTTCATTCAAAATGTTATGTTTGTTTGTTTTAACTTTATTGTTTGTTTGAATGAAATCAAATTTACAAATAAAACATAAAACAAATAAAAATAATTTTGAACATCTAGCTAACCGTTGTAAACTTCTGATTCTGCTTGTTCTCAGTTCAGCCACCTTTTGACCACAGATTCTGTTTGTCTGTCCGTGTGTTTGCAGGTGGTGCGGTCCCTGTAAGATCCTCGGGCCGAGGTTGGAGAAGGCCATCGCGAAACAGAAAGGCCGCGTTGCCATGGCAAAAGTCGACATAGACGATCACACAGACCTGGCCATCGAATATGGGGTACGAAGATTTAGGATAGTTTCTGCAAAAAACCCAGAATTAGCTGAATGTATTGAAGGTGTCATCTGAACTCTGGAGGATTTCAGTTTTAGAGAAAAATCTTTTTTAGATGATTTGGATCTTTAACATAACAGATTTAATTATTTTTATGTTTAAACATCCTGAAACAAATTGTTTCATGAATAAAAATATAACCTCTCTCTTTGTTTTTTTTGTTTTTTAGGTGTCTGCCGTTCCGACAGTAATCGCCATACGTGGAGGCGACGTCATCGACCATTTTGTGGGGATCAAAGATGACGATGAGCTGGACTCATTTGTCAGCAAGGTCATTGGACAATAAACCAGCCGTCCCCGCTCTGCCCGCTCAACGCCGCCATGGTGCTTGTTTTCTAGGATTCTGGCACGTGGGGCCGCCATCTTTGAGCCTGTTCAGCAACAACCTCCAAATAAACAACAATCCCAGCTGGCAAACTGTCAAACGGCTCACGCCCATCACACGGCTCACACCGCTTCAGATCTACTCGAGCTGCTTCTGTCACGTCGTCTACTCCAGCTTCTTTCGCTTTTTTGTGATGGGCGTGAGCCTCTGTCAACCTTTTAGCTCTCACGTCATGCTCCCCGTGCAGCAGATACGTTTTCTTTTCTTTCTTTTTTTTAAACATAGCAGCTCCTTTGTTTGTAGAGCAGCCACAGTTTTCTGTCAGTCTTTAGAGTGGGAATTAAAAACAGCTGTACTGCACTAATACTGTAAACCATGAGGGATAACCTGTTCTAGTTTTTAGACATGGAGAGAATTTAACTTTAAGAAGCTGACAATACTGAATGAGGTTTGTGACGGTGTTACCTGTAGTTCCTGCTTTTGTCCACTAGAGGGCGGCGTTTCTCCAACATCGCAAAGTCACACATGGTAATTTTTACACCATTATGCCTAAAAATGTGAGAAAGAAGACGTGTGTGTGTATTTCTGTGTGTGTGTGTGTGTTTGGGTTCTGACTGTGAAGCTTTAAGTCGAGCAGGAATTACAAATATTAGTTTATTACAGACATGAACTCTATGTACCAGAAACATGACCAAGTGAAGTAATAAAGAATTCAAAGGATGGTTAGTGTTTGAATCATGTTTTCATCTGAGGTTTGTTTGGGAAAGAAGGGAGGGGGTTTATTGTCCCTAATGACACTTGTGCAATTTCAGAGTTATGTGTTTTCCCCGGGATTGAGGTTTTGCCAGCGATGGGAGGATGCACAACGAGGCTCTGAAGTCGAGTAGCTCTCAATAACTGTGTTTATAATATATGTTTTGAGTTCTGTGTCTCTACTTTCTGTCTGAACATGTAGGTGTTACTCATGCTGTCAAAACCCTCTCATCACCTTTAATCTCCACACGTCCTCCTCTACTTGTTGCCTTCTGTCATCCTTCCAAATCAACAGTCTGCCTCTTCCTCTGTCTCTAATCTTTATTTATGATGTCACTGATGCTGCACCTGACTAAACATCCTCTGCTGAACCACCGGTTTCTTCTTCATCAGAGTAGGTGTCGACGAAAGCTTGCATAAGTCAGTCAGACTGTCACAGAACCAGAGATTTAAGCATTTCTACTGAAGAGGTGCTGAAAGGAACCGTTTCCCATGATGCATCCCGATGTAGATTCTGCATCGACGCAGTGATGGAACATAATCGACTGTGCTGTACCGCCGTTGGTGCAGTGGTTACCACTGTTTCCTCACAGTGAGGAGGTTTCTGGTTTGAATCCCCATCTGGCAGGAGCCTCTCTGTCTGTAGTTTGTATGTTCTCCCCATACTTGTGTGGGTTCTTTCAGGGTACTCTGGCTTCCTCCCACAGTCCAAAGACCTGCTGGTGACTCTAGAAGAACAAGTCCTAATGGTGCAATAAATCAGGCAAATTAAAAGTAAATAAGTCAAAAATGGGATTCTTATTTTTTGTCTCTTAAGATCAGATGTGCAACAGATTGTTACCTCAGGGAGAGGTGTGTGTAGATGTGTGTTTGTGTTAGGTGTGTGTGTGTGGAGTGTAGGATTAAGGCTTCAGAGTCTTTGCTCCTGAACTCTCAGGTAAATCCGGTCAAATGAGGCCGTAGAGCACCTGCACTCAGAGACTCCCTGCAGCCATCATGTCCCGGTACCATCTTCTCCCACGACACCATAACCCACAAACACCCCCCCCCCCCCCCCCGCCTGCCGTCCCATCCCGGCATATCATTACTGAGCCCGCGGCTGACAGAACCGGGGCCCAGGCCTTTCACACGTCTTTAAATGCTCCTGGCTCAGATTAGATCATCACAGACGGCTTGTTGGGATGTATTCATGCAGAGCTGCTCAGTAGCACCCAGAGGAGCAGACCCTGGGGGGAGGAGGAGGAGGAGGAGGAGGAGGAGGAGGAGGAGGAGGGTGTGTGTGTGTGTGTGTGTGGGGGGGGGTTAACAGGGAAAGGGGGAATTCCACTCACATTACACAAGCAGGTGTGAGTGAGGCCAGTGATCTAATCCATATGTGCCAACACAATTGTTGTTCGCTGGATGAAAGACATTCCTGCATAGTTTAAAAATGTCCGGCACTTCTCACAATGTAACACGAGAGGAAGGGTCACAGATACACGTCCTCACTTCATGCCCCCGAAGATCAGGATGTACGAAGACAATGTTTGACAGAAACTATAAAAACATGTCCGACAATCACACACACACACACACACACACACACACACACACACACACTCACGCTTATTAACAACAAGAAAATGTACCCCTCGATGGAATTTGTTCCCAAACTTTTTTCCTGGGAGAAAACACAATAAAAGGTTTTTTTTAGCTCATTCCTGTGAGAAGTCTCCTCCATTAATCAACATTTGTAGATAATCAGGGTATTATTCCTCTTTGGTCCTCCATTAAAACATTAAGCTTAATATAATTATATTCTAAATTTGAGTTAGTGCTTCTCAGAGCTCAAATGTTGAAGCATGTTTTTTAATCACATGCAAGAAACAGACAGAGTCACAAAACATACATTCAATCTTAGTCTAACTTCTCTGCTTCTGATTCTTCTTATTTAGAATCACACATTCACAGACATTTGTACATATTGTTCATTTGTGGTTAGACAATAGAGTGATTCCTCTTTTCACATTTTTGTAAATTTATACAGAACAAAATAAATCAAATAGAAAAAATAAAAATAAATAATAGAAATAGAACAAATCAAATAAAAAGACAAATTGTAGGACATGACAAGACTTCTCTGCTTCTTCATCACTCATGACTTGTCTGCAGGATTCACTCTGAATAACCTACACACACACACACTCACACACTCACACACACACACACACACACACACACACACACACACACACCTCCCCTTGTTGTCTGCTCATCCTCATTGTCCGCCTGCAGACAGAGCAGAGAGAGGTGACTGAATAGATGACGAAAAGTTCCAAAGGTTCAAGAGCAGCACGTAAACCCTGAAACTCTTCCGCCAAAAACAATAGACCACACCTCCCTCCTCTCTCCCGCTGTCTCTCTCTCTCTCTCTCTCTCTCTCTGTCTTACTCAACCATTCTTGTGACCATATAAGGCAAAAAAAAGACAGAGGAAGCCAGTGGCGGCTGCTGCTGAACAAACGGGCTGAGAGGCAGAGCTGCACACACTGACTCTCTCCCAGTTTGAGTCCTGCACTCTTCATGTTTAGTGTGTGTTTGTTCAAAATGCAGTTTCAGATCCTGAGCTTCTTGTGTGTGTGTGTGTTTGAGAGAGAGCTGCAGGATTGCGTGTGTGGGAGAGAGCTCTGTACTAACACACAGATCTGGCACAGCCATGAGAGCGCTCTGTGTTTGTAGTAAATACATGTCTGTATTTATATTTGAAACACATGCTGCCCTCCACCTTGTTAGATCCACATTCTGTTCCAGACAAATACCAAGCCGACTCCACGCAGACAAAGCATCCACTGTTGCTGTGTTTTTTATCACTTCCTTCTTTTTCCTCATGCAGTACACACACATGCTTTATAATCTCATTTGTGACTTTGCATGCATTAGAGGAGCTGTCAGTTCATTTGAGGTAAAGACACATCCTTTAAGAAAGTGGGAACCTTTTACTCCCACATTTCTGAGTTTTGTGAGTCAACATGTGTCTTATCACTCCTTCCTGTGTGCTAATTACTTAGGAAAGGAGGCGCACAGAAAACAGGACGAGGCTGAAAGCACAGCAGAGAGAAAAGAATAAACCCAGCTGCCATTATCTCATTAATAAACCATGTTTGAAGCTTGTGGTGCTCTTAATTATTATTTGTGGTTCAAACAAGCACTCTGTCATGTCAACAGGCAGTGTAAACTGAGCACAGAGTCTTGGCAGGAGGTTGAACATAACTGAGGAATGATGCTGAGTTTAAAAAAACGAGGGGAGGTTTTCTGGAATGAGGAGCGATGTGTTTACACTGCAGCTCGGACTTTAACTCGCAGAAAATCTGTGTCAGGTAGGAAGATGTGGGTCAGACATGGAGATTAAACAACAAACATCAACCTCCTGGATGTATGCGCACACACACACACACACACACACACCACACACACACGTAAGCATATGCTACCAGTACACTCAGCCATGAATGCAGGCACACATGAATTCACACAAATAATTACACAGCAAGAGTGGTCAGTGAGTTAACATGCCGCCCTTTTAACATGCTGTCACTGAATGGTTCCCTTTCTTTACTGCTTGGATGATATAATGGCTTTACACACCCTGAATTACAGACACACCCTGCTGCTATAACAACCAACCGAAGGAAAAGGAAAAAGCAGAGAGAGAGAGAAAGAGAGAGAGAGACTAGGTCATGGTGAAAAGGAGAGCGGGAGGAGGTGGCGAGAGGGAGGGAGATAGTGAGGTCAGAAGTGTCCATATTTGGTAATTCAGGCCTTCGTTTTTTACTCCGACATTTTTTTCCACCCGTGCCCGGCTCTGTTTGTTTTGTGTCATGTGCAATTGTTGCGTAATTTACGTTCTCTCCAGGCGCACACATTGTGCTGTTTGTGAACTAATTCAAATGTAAGTTTGTTTATTTTTTTTTAATGTTTTTCCTCCCCACACACACACACACTCTCATTCCTCTCCTCCTTTCTAAGCCCTTTCTCATCCTTTGGCATCTGGTCCCGTTCAAGTAACGGTGTGACAGGTTGACCTTTGACCTCTCCGCTGAAACTTCAGATATTTCCCATCCATTCCCAGAGAGAGAGAGAGAGAGAGAAAAGAAAGAGAGAGTGTGTGAGGTTTATTGAATTTTCCAAAGCAGGCGTGCTGGACGTTCAATGTTTTTCTCTGCATGCGTACATGTGATGCCCGGCTGTTAAACATTAAGGACAACACAGACACATTCCTCTCATAATGACACACAGCAGACATAAATCACATGTCCAACAGAGAATGTGTTTTTTCCTGTGCTTGTCAGTGGATGCCAGTCATCCTCTAAGGTCATGTTTTAAGCTCAATCAGCACGAGATCTGCCTCCATGGTGCTAAATGTGTCACTTTGTACATTGTGTGATGATCTCACAAATAATCACTGGAAAGCAAAACAATATCATGTGTTTGTCATCACTATCTAAGTATATAAGACAGTAAACGTACTTAAGTATAGCATCCTTATGTTCATGTACCTCCTCATGGGA